TGGCGTGGAACACACCGCTGCGATGCCGACGACGGAGGCGGCGCCGCGAGACGGCGAGCCGGCGAGGATGAACGGTGAAGACGACGACGGACACCGGCGGTGTTCGGTCGGAGGGGAGGCGAGGCCGAGGACGACGTCGCGGCTGCGATGCCGAAGATGGTAGAGGTGCAGCAAGCCGACGAGCCGGGGAGGAGGAAGGGGCGGCCGAAAGGACGCTGGCGACGAAGAGGATGGAGAGGCCGGCGCGGCGACGGCGTTCCGGCGAAACCGAGGAGCAGCCGGGGTGGAGGGCGATGCGGCGACGCCGAGGGAGGGGACGGCAGCGCCGGCTGATGCACGGGCGCGGCGGAAGGGGCTGCCGGAGGAGACGTCGACGAGGAGGAAGGAGAGGCCGGCGCGGGCGTCGGTGTTCCGGCGAAATTCGGGCGAGGAGGAGGTGATGCCGGGGATGAGGGCGGCGTCGCGGAGCCGAGGGAGGTGGTGGCGACGTCAACCGGCGCTCAGGCAGGGAGACAGAGGCGGCCGGCGCGGAGGAAAGGGAAGGGCGACGGCGGGAACGCAGCTCTGGGGGTCTCCGCGGGAAACGGAGGGCAAGCCGGGGAAGAGGAGGCGGCCGCGATGCTGGAGGAGGCGACGGCACGGCCGGCCGACGTGCTAACGCGGCGGCAGGGGCGGCTGAAGACGGCCGGCGGCACGGGAGAGAGGGGACGACGGCGGGGAGGTGGCTAGGGACCACGGGAGAGCTCGGGAGGAGACTAAAACGGTAGAACGCAAAGAGGGGGTTCTATTTTATAGGGTGGGGGAGGGAGCCGGGCACGGGAGAGGGCGGAACGGCGACGGGAATGACGGCCGACGGCCATGGAAAGCGGCCGGACTTGGCGCGTCCGTTCCCGGCGATTGGGGCACCATTCAAGGGGGAATTAAGGGGGAAAGAGAGAGGAGGGAAAGGGGATTAATTCCCCCTAATCAATTTGGGAATCCCATGCTTGAATCGCGCGGATTTGAGGGAGGAATGGCGCTAGGGTTCACGGGAGAGGGAGAGAGGACGGCCGGGCGGGAGGAGGACGATGACCCGGCGCGTGGGACCCACCGGTCAGGCGCGCGGTCAGCGCACGCGCGGCGTGCGCGTGACAGGCGCGTGCGGCGTGGCTTGGGGAGGCTCGGCTGGGCCGGGACACAGCCCAGGCGGGAGGGGGCAGGGCGGCCCGGGACCGGGCAGGCCGGGAGGGGAGGGAGGAACGGCCCGGGAGAGAGAGGGGAGGGGGAGGGAGAGGGAGAGAAAAAGAGGGAGGAGAGAGGGACTTCGGCCGCGGGCCGAGAGAGAGAGAGAGTGGACTTTGGGCCAAACTTGGCCCAAAGGAGGAAGGAAGGTTATTTTTAGGTTTTTCTTTTTACTAAACTTTGATAATTGTTTTTGTTGCTTAATAATTATTTCCGGTGCTCTGAAAATTCAAGTAAAATTTGAGGGCTCCTGTTAAACCAAGGAGAATTTAACAAAAATTCTCCGGGCCACATTCGAATTTTTCTTGTACGCATTTTAGTGTTTGCCAATTTCTTTTCGAATTTTAATTAATTCTATTATTCCTTTTAGAGAATGATTTTTAATTCGGGATGAATTTATCAGGACGTGACAGCGGTCCCCTAAACCAGCTCCTCCTCTTTCCCCCTCTCTCTGTCGCCACCGTCACCGCGCGTCGCCGCCTCGCGCCGCTCGCCCACCGCGCCGCCGTCGCCATCGTCGCCGTCGTCCTCGCGCCCCGTGCCGCCGCCTCGAGCCCCGTGCCGCCGCCTCGCGCCCCGCGCCCCCGCTGCCACGCTGTCGCCGCGCCACGCGCCCGCCTGCCGCCGCGCGACCGTCCCGTCGCCACGCCGCGCGCCCGTCCCGTCGCCGCGCCATCATCCTGTCACCATCGCATCGCCGTCCCGCGCCACGCCGCCCGCCCATCGCCATCGCCGCCTCGCGCCCCGCGCTCGCACGTCGCGTCGCCGCGTCGAGCCCCGCGCCACCTGTCGCACCGCCGCTCCGAGCCCCATGCCGACATCGCGTCGCCGCCCGCGCGTCGCCGTCGTTCCGCCCCGTGCGCCGCCCACCCATCGCCATCGCCGACTCGCGCCCCGCGCTCGCACGTCGCGTCACCGTTACACCGCCGCCCTTCCCCCTCTCCTCCTCCCCTCTCTACAAATACCCCCTCTCCATTCTCCCCCACCCCATCTCACCCTTCCTCCCCTCTCCCCTCTCCACTGCGCCGCCGTTCCCGTGCCGGTGAGCCGCCGTTCCCGTGCCGCCGTGCCGTCGCTCCTGTGCTACCGTGCCGCCGCTTTTGTGCCGCCGTACGCCACCGTCGCCACCGTCGTCGTCGCCGCTGCCGCCGTCGGTGAGCCGCCCTCCTTCCCCCTCGCGTCCACCGCCGCCACCGCTCGGGTAGGAGGGAGAGCCGAGAGAGAGAGAAAGATAGAGAGAGAGAGAGGAAAGAGAGCCGAGAGAGAGAAAGAGAGAGAGGGAGGAAAAGAGAGCCGAGAGGGAGAGGAAGAGAGAAAAGAAAGAAAAAGAAAAGAAGAGAAAAGAAAAAAAAAGGGAGAAAAAGGAAAAGGAAAAATAAATAGAAAAATTTGGAAGAAAATTAGGGAGGTTAATAGTTTAGAAAATTTAAAATAATTAGAATTTAATTATAGAATAATCATGGTCCTAGAATTGCAAAATTTAATTATTCTTGGTAATTTCTAAAAGAAATCAATTCGCAGTAGTAATTTAGATATAATTAACAATTAGATGAATCTTTATAGACTATTATAGATCATTTTTGGATAATCTCTATAAGTAATCGATTCACGGTAGAAATTCGGATTCAATCGCTAGGAATTTTAGACGTATATTATATTTAATCGTTTAGTCATAGACTAAATTAAAACGTATAATATTATAAGATAATTTTAGGATTCCGTCCGACATTTAGCTCGCGATAGAAATTTCTAACCTATTATATGGATATAATGCTCGGGTAGATTAAATTAAAAACTTACGATAACAAAATATTTATACCCGCAAAATAGTTTAGGATATTAAAAATTGAAATTGGGTTTGCCCTAGTTTGCGAATAGTAGAGTTAATATAAAAGAATCAACTTTCGCATTCGACTTCCATCTGGATTTATTTGGATTTTTATTTGAATTC